GGTACAAGCTCTCCCTCCTCTGCGAGGACAGATCTCCCCGGCCCCCCCCCCCCATAGCTAGCAATCCAAAACAGTCCAGTGGAGCCTGAGCGGTGGGTGTTGCCTTCTGACACACTGCTGGTGATGTCAGGGGGTGTGGCATATGCAAATGAGTTATGCTAATGAGCCCCTGCACCTCTTTTCCCACAAAATGACCCCTGCGTCCCACACTTTTGTCAAGAGCTTCATGACACAACGTATATGCCCCCCCCCATGCTCCACCATGACAGCTCTGCCCATCACGGCAGGGCCTTCTGCAGGGGCCGGCCTGCAAATGGGCAAAATCAACAACTGCCTGAGCACGTGGCCTTCTCTGTGGTGGCCCCAAGCTGACAGAAGAAGCCTGCCGGACGAAGTCAAAAAGGCTCCCCCTCTCCTGTCTTTCTGCAAACCATGCCAAACTGAATAATCCAGAGGGCTTTTCTACACGAGTGATAGGTTCCCACGGGAAAGAACGATTCACAAAACCACCTGGCCAAATTTACTGCGGACTGTGCTCTATACTACTGTGTACAGCTTGCTGTTAGCAGGATCCGGTTATGTAATTCTTGCACTGCGTAATGTGTCATGTTAACAATTATCCTTTGTCAGGGAGTCGGTCTGGTGTCGTGGTTAAGTGCGCGGACTCTAATCTGGGAGAGCCGGGTTTGATTCCCCACTCCTCCACTCGCTGCTGCTGGATGACCTTGGGCAAGCCGTAGTTCTGATAAGAGCTGTCCTTGAAAAAGAGCCGTTTCTCTCAGAGCTCTCTCAGCCCCGCCTGCCTCACAGGGTGTCTGTCTGTTGTGGGGAGGGGAAGGAGTTTGTAAGCCACTCTGAGACTCCTTTGCGTAGTGAAGGGCCATGTGGTATAAATCCAGTCTCTTCTTCCTCTTCTTTTGTTTTGGGTCTGTTTCCTAGACTTCTGGAAGGTTCTACTCCCGTAACCCTTTTGCACGGTTCACTGACTGACCCATCTTGTCGAGTGCCTTGACTCGCTCTGCGTGATGCACCTTGAGTCACCATCGGAAAGGCGGATGTGATAAACAGCATGAATAAACGTTTAAGCATTAAGAAACCCACCAATCCCTCAGCCCGGCACACAGGGGAACAGGGGGAGCCCTGCAAGTGCCCCGCTCTCTGCAGAAAGAGCTGCATTCTCGGGGGGGGGGGGGGGCACGCGGATCGCAGGCCGAGCCCTTGGAAAACACCCTGGCCTTGAGATGCAGGGGGCTAAGCCCCGGACAAGCAGGGAGAATAATCCATTTGTCTGTCGTGCCATCCAGCTACTTTCTGGAACCAGTTTGGTGTAGTGGTTAAGTGTGCGGACTCCACTTGCACCTGCTGGATGACCTTGGGCAAGCCGTAGTTCTGATAAGAGCTGTCCTTGAAAAAGAGCAGTTTCTGTCAGAGCTCTCTCAGCCCCGCCTGCCTCACAGGGTGTCTGTTGTGGGGAGGGGAAGGGAAAGGAGTTTGTCAGCCGCTCTGAGACTCCTTCGGGTAGTGATGGGCGGGGCATAAATCCAATCTCTTCTTCTTCTTCTTCTAATCTGGGAGAACTGGGTTTGATTCCCCACTCCTCCTCCACTTGCACCTGGCTGGATGACCTTGGGCAAGCCATAGTTCTGATAAGAGCTGTTCCTGAAAAAGATCAGTTTCTGTCACAAGCTATCTCAGCCCCACCCACCTCACGGGGTGTCTGTTGTGGGGAGGGGAAGGGAAAGGAGTTTGTAAGCCGCTCTGAGACACCTTTGGGTAGTGAAGGGAGGGCTGTAAATCCAATCTCTTCTCCTTCTACTACTCCGTAACAAGCACCCAGCCAGCTGCCGTTGGAAATGCATATCTTGGACTCGGTGGATGCATTTGCATTTATTTGCACATATATCCCACTCCTGTCCCCACTTGGGACTCAACGCGGCCAAGAACACCATTCTCCCCTCCTCCATTCTCTCACAGCAACAACCCAGCGAGCCGGGCCAGGCTGAGTGTGTGTGACGGGCCAGAGGTCACCTGGCAAGCTTTCACGGGGGAAGTCGGGATCGGAACCCGTGTGCCCGTCGGTGGCTCTCGGTCCCCCCCCTGGACCCACCTTGGTCTGCTGCAGGAGGATTCTTCCCACGTTCTGAAATCCAGCCCAAGCTCTTGCTGCTCCCCCTTCCAAGCTACCAACGATGGCCGAGATGCAGCTCCCTTCTTCTTCCTCCTTAGGTGCCAACACTCCTCTCTCTCTCGCTCCTCCCCTGCTTCAGACCACGCAAAGGGCAGGAGGGGAGACATCCATTGACCCAGGGCTCTTCTGGTAGCAGGGACTCCTTTGCAGATTAGGTGACGCACCCCTAATGTAGCCAATCCTCCAAGAGCTTACAGAGCTCTTCTTACAGGGACTACTGTAAGCTCTTGGAGGATTGGCTACATCAGGGGTGGGGCGCCCAGAGGTCATTTCGTAGAAAAAGAGGTGCAGGAGCTCATTAGCATAACTTATTTGCATATGCCACACCCCCTAATATCACCGGAAGTGTGTCAGAAGGCAACACCCACCGTTCAGGCTCCACTGGACTGTTTTGGATTGCTAGCTATTGGGGGGGGCCCTGCAGATCTGTCCTCGCAGAGGAGGGAGAGCTTGTACCTGAATAGAACTTGGTCTTAAAGGTGTCACGGGACTGTTTGGACCGGGGGGCCGGGGGGCTCTGCAATTTACATGGCTGCTTCTTGCTCTGACTGAGGGCTGTTGGGAGCAGGGGGGGGGCTTGTTACATGTGCCCACCCCCTGGGCTCTTTACTGCCGGAGCTCCGCTCCTGTGCGCTCTTGCAGAAAATGACCCCTGGACTGTTGCCTAATATGCTACAAAAAGAACCCTGAGACCAATGCTCCCTCTAAGCTGTGGAGTCTTGTGAGCAAAAATTCCATTTTGTGAGCTCCTGGCATTAAAGTTGTGAGCGTGCGATTTGGCTACTGCATAAATCAGTTTGCTCTGGAGCCGTCCTTCCTGAGCCAAGGCAAAAATGTGTGAGCCGGAGGCCAAAGAACTGTGAGCTAGCTCACACTCACTCATTTTAGAGGCAGGGGTCATTTCCTGTGGAAGCGCACAGGAGCGGAGCTCCAGCAGTAAGGAGCCCAGGGGGCCTGCCTTCAGGTACAAGCTCTCCCTCCTCTGTTCATGGCAGATCTGCGCGTTCTCCCCCCCCCTCCAATAGCTAGCAATCCAAAAGAGTCCAGTGGAGCCTGAGCTGTGAGTGTTGCCTCCTGACACACTTCCAGTGATGTCAGGGGGCGTGGCGTATGCAAATGAGCTATGCTAATGAGCTCCTGCACCTCTTTCTCTACGAAATGACCCCTGCTTAGAGGGAACACTGCCCTTGACTTGTCAGCAGACCCACCAGTTTGGTGTGGTGGTTAAGTGCGTAGACTCTAATCTGGGAGAACCAGGTTTGATTCCCCACCCCTCCACTTGCACCTGCTTGACCTTGGGCAACCCGTAGTTCTGACAAGAGCTGTCTTTGAAAAAGAGCAGTTTCTGTCAGAGTTCTCTCAGCCCCACCTGCCTCACAGGGTGTCTGTTGTGGGGAGGGGGAGGGAAAGGAGCTTGTGAGCCGCTCTGAGACACCTTCGGGTAGTAAAGGGCGGGGGTAGAAACCCAATCTCCTCCTCCTCCTCTCCTCCAATGACCACAGTTTACAAAGCAAAATGTTCATTAAAGAGAAGTCAGAGTCGCTCACACACAGGGGAAACTGGTCACCAAAGGCCGATCCCACTTTAGTTTGTAGAGACACAGGCGCGGCTTCAAAGACCCTGGAGACGCCTGGCAGGGCTCTGCTCAGCACCGGCAGGAGACTCACCCGCACATCCCACCCACCTGGGATCTCCCCAGGAGGCGCCTGCAGTCTGTCCGGGTGTGTGAGAAGTCCAAGCAAGACGGAATGAGACTGAAAAAGGATGCTGGCCTCCGCCCGACAAATCTGAGGAGGAAAGGGTGCACGCTCCACCCAGGAGAGCTCTGGTCAAGGCTTTTCACACGTACTTTCAGGTGATATCCCGCTCCAGGACCTCTTCTTTCCAAAATTAAATTCTGACCGTGCAAATCCTGCCCCACAGTGGAAGCACTGCTGGGAGGGCTGGGGTCGCACACAGAAGCGCTTCCTCTGCCACAGACAGATGAGAGAAACTGGCACGCTGTCCTTCTTGCGTACCCCAATAGACGCATGTTCTGACCCAACCTGCACCAGCAATGAAAGGATTTCAGCGGCAGCCTACTGTGCCCGGCAAATGACCAAAATCTGTAGGAGCACATTTCTGGCTGGTGGACGTCCACCACCCTCCCCATCTTCTCCAGATGCCCTTAATCCCTCTCCGTCCATCCATCTCCGGGCACGCGGTGAATAGCTGCCTTGGCATCGTAGCGGACTGCCCCACTGCGCAGGTGTGGCTCCTCGTACTGGTACCAGTGCTCCTTGCAGAAGTCCGGGAAGAAGACGGCTATCTCCCTCCTGGCTGATGCCGCCGAGTCTGTGCGAGCAAAAGAGGGGGGGTGTCGGAACCCACAGCCAACAATGGAGTACACACGTCTTTAGAAAGGTGATACTTTTATTGAAGAGCCATAGATGCATTAACATAGTCACTGTTAAGAATAGCGGTTGCCTCTTGAGCCTAATGAGATATAGGGCATTTGTATGCACCCCCCCCCCACACACACTGCGCTGGCCAATTAGGCACCCTCCCGCACGAGGGCTAGAGCCAGCAAGCGTTACTATGCGAAGCTGGGAATATTTCGGCTCCCACGGCTGGCCACCTGCACTTCTTAAGAGATAAGCATTTCAGCGCAAAGCAAGAAAGAAAGGAATGCGAAAGCCGTTTACACAGATACTGAAAGAACATCCCAACCCCCATGGCAGCATAGCTGACAGGGGGGAAATGTGAGCAGGTACAGGACCCACACCCTGACTGCAATGTTTTCACCCTCTTACAAGGTCTCTTGTATCTGTAATCTCTGTCAAGGCACCTCTCTGGCGTGTACTGAGGGGACATGTGTTATGTCGCCCCCTGGCCTTCCTTACAATGTTTCCTCTAAGCTGTGGAGTCGTTTGAGCAAAAAAATCTACTTTGTGAGCTACTGGGGCATTAAAGCTGTGAGCGAGTGATTAGGCTACGGCATAAACTAGTTTGCTCTAGAGCCGTCCTTCCTGAGCTAAGACAAAAATGTGTGAGCCGGAGGCTAAAAACCTGCGAGCTAGCTCACACTAACTCAGCTTAGAGGGAACACAGCTTCCTTAGCGTTTTCTCCTCAGACAAACATTTATTGTATGTAGCCAAAGGCCAATCTCAAAAGGGGAGTAAGAATGTAGTGGAATGTAGTCAGCCTGTGTTTTGGGATTTTCCGTGCCCCGCCTGAGCAATTGTGACACGGAGGGAGTTCCAGCTTTGGTGCCACCACTGAGAAGGCCCCGTTTTGCTTCAGAAGGCAGGAGCAACCAAAGCAGGGCCTCTGAAAGTGACGGAAGCATATCGGTAGCTCACAAAATAAAAGACTCTTTTTCTTACGCCAGGCCCAGCCCTTTTCTGACTCACCTGAGCCATGCACCGAATTCCGAGTGTCTGTCAGGCCATAAGCCCCACGGATGGAGTCCGGATCCGTATGCTGGGCGCGAAACACTTTGGTGGGGCCCATCAGAGACCTCCAGAACGGGACGGCTTCCTCATGGGCCAGGATGTAGGCCCGCATCGGGCCGCTGGAAGGGAGAGGAGGCAAGGTGAGCTTCTGATTCAAACGCTTCATCAGCAAAACTTCCCCTACTGACCATTTTGGTCACTCGAGGAGGCAGGAAACGACGACATATGCAGCTATGATTTTGTGCCATCGGGTACTGAGGTTCCACTCAGTCACCATGGCTAGTAGCTGTCAGATAGACTCATGGAAGATAAGTCTCTCAATGGCTAGTAGACATGGTGGCTGAGGGGAACCCCCACATTCAGAAACACTAAGCCGTTGAATCCCAGAGCCAGGAAGCAACATCAGGGGAAGGCCTCAGCCACTGTGCCCAGTTGTTGGCCTTCCGGAGGAACTGGCTGGCCCCTGTGTGAGACAGGATGCTGGACTAGATGGACCCTCATTGGTCTGATCCAGCAGAGCTCATCTGATGCTCTTAGCAGGGGAAGGTCTCAGCCTCTCTGCCCAGTTGTTGGCCTTCCGGAGGAACTGGTTGGCCCCTGTGTGAGACGGGATGCTGGACTGGATGGACCCTCACTGGTCTGACCCAGCAGGGCTCTTCTGATGTTCTTATGAAGGCCTCGGCCTCTCTGCCCTGTTGTTGGCCCTCCAGAGGAACTGGATGGCCCCTGTGTGAGACAGGATGCTGGACTAGGTGGACCCTCACTGGTCTGACCCAGCAGGGCTCTTCTGATGTTCTTATGAAGGCCTCGGCCTCTCTGCCCTGTTGTTGGCCCTCCAGAGGAACTGGATGGCCCCTGTGTGAGACAGGATGCTGGACTGGATGGACCCTCACTGGTCCAATCCAGCAGGGCTCCTCTGATGTTCTTAGGAAGGCCTCAGCCTCTCTGCCCTGTTATTGGCCCTCCAGAGGAACTGGTTGGCCGCTGTGTGAGACAGGATGCTGGACTGGATGGACCCTCAGTGGTCTGATCCATCAGGGATCTTCTGATGTCCTCATGAAGGCCTCAGCCTCTCTGCCCTGTTGTTCACCCTCCGGAGGAACTGGTTGGCCGCTGTGTGAGACAGGATGCTGGACTAGATGGACCCTCAGTGGTCTGATCCAGCAGGGCTCATCTGATGCTCTTATCAGGGGAAGGTCTCAGCCTCTCTGCCCTGTTGCTGGCCCTCCAGAGGAACTGGCTGGCCCCTGTGTGAGACAGGATGCTGGACTGGATGGACCCTCACTGGTCCAATCCAGCAGGGCTCCTCTGATGTTCTTATGAAGGCCTCGGCCTCCATGCCCTGTTATTGGCCCTCCAGAGGAACTGGTTGGCCGCTGTGTGAGACAGGATGCTGGACTAGATGGACCCTCAATGGTCTGATCCAGCAGGGCTCATCTGATGCTCTTATCAGGGGAAGGTCTCAGCCTCTCTGCCCTGTTGCTGGCCCTCCAGAGGAACTGGCTGGCCCCTGGGTGAGACAGGAGGCTGGGCTAGAGAGACCCTCACTGGTCTGATCCAGCAGGGCTCTTCTAATGTTCTTATGAAGACCTCGGCCTCGATGCCCTCTTGTTGGATTCGAGAGGAAATGATTGGCCCCTGGGTGAGACAGGATGCTGGACTAGATGGACCACTGCTCTGATCCAGCAGGGCTCATCTTGTGCATTGGATTATTCCCCACAATATTTCCCTGGAGATTAAAATGTAAAGTGTGTACAAGTTTAAATATTACGAAAACGTATTTTCCGCATCTACCTACCTGCACAACTCAGATCTTAACTTGTGATAACAACATTCCCCAGGGAGAGATTGTGGCGTGAAGGACCTCCGCCTGAGATCCTGGAGAGCGGCTTCCAGTCTGAGTAGTAAATACTGAGCTTGACAGACTAAAGGTCTGATTCAGTAAAAGGCAGCTTCATGTCGAGTACCATTCAGGGGAGGGGCTGTGGCTCAGTGGTAGAGCATCTGTTTGGCATGCACAAGGTCCCAGGTACCTCTAGATAAAAGGACCAGGTGATGTGAAAGACCTCTACCTGAGACCCGGGAGAGCCAGTCTGTGTCGTCAGTACTGACCTAGATGGGTCAAGGGCCTGATTCAGTATAAGGCAGATTAATATGCGTTCAAGAACTGTGGATCAGCTTATTATCATCATTATTTAAAATTAAGACCTGAGTTGTGCAGGCAGGCAGACAGGCAGGTGGATGGAGGTAGACAGACAGACAGATAGATAGATGATAGATTAGATAGACAGACAGACAGACAGACAGACAGACAGACAGACAGACAGATGATAGATTAGATAGATAGATAGATTAGATAGATAGATGATAGATTAGATAGATGATAGATTAGATAGATGATAGATTAGATAGATAGATAGATAGATAGATAGATAGATAGATAGATAGATAGATAGATAGATAGATAGATAGATGATTGATAGATGATTGATAGATGATTGATAGATAGATGATTGATTGATAGATAGATGATAGATAGATGATAGATAGATAGACAGACAGACAGACAGACAGACGGACGGACGGATGGACAGGTGGATGGACGGTATAGATAGAAAGATAGATGATCGAGAGAGAGAGAGAGAGAGAAAGATAGATGATACATAGATAGATAGATATCAAAGTAATCTTTACGGCAACCCTGTAAGTTGAGCCAGTGTTATTTCCCCCTTGCTCTACGTATGAGGCTACAGCTGAGACAGCATTTTGCTTAACAGCCTCAGGTGAGAGCTGAATCAAGCACTTCCTGGCTCACAGCTCATTCTGCTGACCAATACACTAAAATAGCGAATAGCATCTGGCTGCTATCTGCACATGTCATTGTTGCCTCTCTGTGGGGAATTCTCGGACGTACCTGGCCATGAACTCCACCAGCCTCTGGTAGAAAAAGCGCCCTGGAACAAGGAGAAGAGCAAGTGAGTCACCCCCACGCAGCTCACGGGGCCTCCCCCACCTGCTGGTCTCCCCACCACAATGGCCACGCATTCTTTTCCGGGTGCTCAGAACCTCGTTCTCTACCCGTGTATCCTCCCACCCACTCCAGGAATCATATTAGGCAGAGAACAGGTCCAGGAAGGGACACTGCGCGAGCAGCACGGACGGAGGCCATTTCGCACAAGATACACGGGTACATCATTTCCACGCAGAAACTCAATGAGTCTGAGTTGAACCCGTGAGCACCATTACATGTGATGAGCTGACAGCTTTGGAAACAGACACACGGTAGGTATGCAGGGGGTTTCCCACTCATATTGTTAGCAACGTGGACATATGGGGGATTCACCACCGGAGGGATTAGTGAAAGTGGCATAGAGGCTAGAGAAGAAGAGTTGGTTTCCTTGCTCCTAGTCCAATGAGAGCCAATCTGGTGTAGTGGTCAGGAGTGCAGACTCTAATCTGGGACAACCGGGTTTGATTCCCCACTCCTCCTCCAGATGCAGCTGCTGGAGTGTCCTTGGGTCCTTCACAGGTTCTCTCAGAGCTGTTCTCTCAAGAGCTGTCCTCGAAAGAGCTCTCTCAGCCCCGCCTGCCTCACAGGGTGTCTGTTGTGGGGGGAGGAAGGGAAAGGAGACTGTAAGCCACTCCGAGACTCCAAGTTAAGGGTGAAGTGTATAATTCCATTCTCTTCTCCTTTTCTTCTTTTATACCCCAACTTTTCTCTACCTTAAGGAGTCTCAAAGCGGTTTACAATCGCCTTCCCTTCCCCTCCCCACAACAGGCACCTTGTGAGGAAGGCGGGGTTGAGAGAGTTCTGAGAGAACTTGTGACTGGCCCAAGGTCACCCATCAGGCTTTGTGTGGAGGAGGTGTGGGGCATCAGACTGTACTCTCCAGATATTAGAGTCCACTACTCTTAACCGTGGAGCTGCGGTGGCTCAAGTGGTTAAGACGCTGAACTGCAGGCTGTGGAAGGTCGGTAGTTCAGCAGTTCGAGACCCGAGTTGCCGCATGACGGAGTGAGCTCCCGTCTCTAGTTCCAGCTCCTGCCAACCTAGCAGTTCGAAAGCAAGAAATTGCAAGTAGATAAATAGGTACCGCTTCGGTGGGAAGGTAACAGAGTTCCGTGCGCCTTGGTGTTTAGTCATGCCGGCCACATGACCAGGGAAACGTCTCTGGACAGCGCTGGCTCTTCGGCTTTGAAACGGAGGTGAGCACCGCAACCCTAGAGTCGGATTTGACTGGCTTTCGAGCAAGGGAACCTTTACCTTTCACCTTACTCTTAACCACTGCACCACAGGGGCCCTCACTGAACTAGGAAGAAGGAGGCTCAGGGACAAGTCCCCGCTTGCCGTGACACTTCCTGGGGGAACCTGGGCCGGCCACGCTCCCTCTCACCCCAGCCCACCCGACGTGGTTCTTGTCAGAGTAAAATGGAGAGAGAGAGAGGGGCACGCACGCTGCCCAGGCCACCCTGGTGGAAGAACGGGAGGGATAAAAACGCACTCTATGAATCTATTTCAGATGCAACCGAACGTTACAGATTCGGAAGAACAGAAACCACTTCCCGGATCCCTAAACTCAGAGCCGGACGTCACAGTTGCCTGTTGACCACGACTGCGTCCCTAGGTCAGACCTTTGGGTGGAGTGCATCGACATTTGGAGAAAGAGGAAGGGAGGGTGGTCCCCACCTGAGTGCTCCCGGTAGAACTGCCGACTGTCCTGCTTGCTCCACACCAGGTCCCTGCATCGGACAATCAGGAACCTGTTGCTCAGGATGGTCTCATGCACAGCCTGGGCAGAGAGGAAGAAGAGAAGGAGAAGAGAGAAGAAGAGATTGGATTTATACCCGGCCCTTCACTACCCGAAGGTGTCTCAGAGCGGCTTGCAAACTCCTTTCCCTTCCCCTCCCCACAACAGACACCCTGTGAGGTGGGTGGGGCTGAGACAGCTCTTGACAGAAACTGACCTTGAGAGAACAGCCCTGAGAGAACTTGTGACTGACCCAAGGTCACACCAGCAGCTGCATGTGGGGGAGGAGTGGGAAATCAAACCCTGTTCTCCCAGATTAGAGTCCTTGCTCCTAACCTCGACACCAAACTGGCTCCTAGAAGGAGGTGGAGGAGATTGGATTTGTACCCCACCCTTCACTACCCGAAGGAGTCTCAGAACGGCTGACAAACACCTTTCCCTCCCCCTCCCCACAACAGACAGATACCCTGTGAGGGAGGTGGGGCTGAGAGAACTCTGACAGAAACGGCTCTTTTTCAAGGACAGCTCTGACAGAGCTACGGCTTGCCCAAGGTCAACCAGCAGGTGCAAGTGGAGGAGGAGTGGGGAATCAAAACCGGCTCTCCCAGATTAGAGTCCGTGCACTTAACCACTACACCAAACTGGCTCTCATAGACCCTTTAAGCCAGGGGTGTTGAACTCATCTGTTACGAGGGCCGGATCAGACATAAATGAGACCGGGCCACGTGTGTCATAAAAGGTAATGCCAGGTAGCAGAGATATAAACTTTACAAAAGACGCAAACACAAAGTTGTTGGGTTTTTTTACTTAAAATAAAAACACGTCTAAAACACTAGCTCTGTAAGCTGCAAACCTACTTTTGATTTATTGACCTTCACCACACAGAAATCTCATGCTTAGAGTTCTGAGTCTGGGACCCAGGTTAAATGAAATGGCTGAGTGATTAAGCAAGCTACGATGCAGCAGCAGCAGAACTGGAAGCAGGAGATGGCCGGTTCCATTGCGGGCCTGATGGGAGCCCTCCAGGGGCATCCTCTGGCCCCCGGGCCGCATGTTTGACACCCCTGCTTTAAGCCATACGTACCAGGAAGGGGGGGGACGTCATAGACACGAAGGCCAGGCTTGAGTCTGTCATCCCCAGCTGCACACAAATCTTTTGCGGGGGACAGACGCAAAAAGGGGTTGCCAACCTACAGGTGGGACCTGGAGATCTCCCGGCATCACGGCTGATCTCCAGACCAGAGAGAGAGCCTTTCCCCTGGAGAAAACCTAGATTCGAATCCAGTAGCACGTTAGAGACCCACAAGATTTTTGGAGTATACGTTTGCAAGCGTCGAAGCAGCCACGGTCAGACAGCTGACGAAGGGAGCTCTGAGCCTCGAACGTTCGTGCCCCGAAAACCTTGTTGGTCTCTAAAGGGCTGCCGGGCTTGGATTTAGCTGTTCTACGACTGACCGGCCCTCACCTGGAGAGCCCCGGGGAGCCCAGTCTTCCTGGATCTTGGACGCTAAGCAAGGGCAGCCCTGGCTAGTGTTTGGGTGGGAGACCAGCAAGGAAGTCCGGGGTCGCTCTGCAGAGGCGGGCCAGGGCAAACCACCTCTAGCCGTGAAAACCCCACGCGGTTGCCAGGAGTCAACTGGGATTTAGAATCACAGAACCGTAGAGTCGGAAGGGACCTCCAGGGCCATCTAGTCCAACCCCCTGCACAAGGCAGGAAGTTTACAAATACTGCCTATGCTGCCCCCACTCAGTGTTATCTGTAGTTTAGTAAAACTGCGCTGCATCTTTAAGACTTGTTGCACCTGGGAATTGGAGTCCACAGTTAGGGGTCCCAGAAGCTTCCCTCCGACTGGCTCATGAAGAATAATTTCCTGAGCTCAGAGGCGCAAAGATAGGAGTTTTATTGTTCTTTTCCGTTTTCTTTGTCCATCAACCCTTACTGCAAGGGGAGGGGAAGTCCATCTCTTTTCTCACCACGGCTATTGACCTGACCTAGATCACAAGAAGCGCCGAAGAATAGATTCTTTTGAACTATGGTGCTGGAGAAGACTCTTGAGAGTCCCTTGGACTGCCAGAAGATCAAATCATTCAATCCTAAAAGAAACCAACCCTGACTGTTTACTGGAAGGCCAGATAATGAAACTGAAGCTCAAAGACTTTGGCCACCCAATGAGAAGGGAGCACTCCCTGGAGAAGAAGACCCTGATGCTGGGAAAGACTGAAGGTCAAAGAAGACGGGGACAGCAAAGGGTGAGATGGTTGGACAGTGTCATAGATGCAACGAACATGAAATTGAGCCAACTTCAGAGGACAGCGGAAGACCAGAAGGCCTGGCGGGACCTGGTCCATGGGGTCGCGAAGAGTCGGACTCGACTGTGCGACTGAACAACAACAACAACAACAATCTGGTCGATTGTGAGTAAATGATCTTCTGAATGCGTGTGAAGTTAAATAAAGCTCTCCTCAGTAGTCGTGGTTGACTCACACCTAGAGAGTGTTGGCTTAGCACAGCTCGCGCTGGACAAGACACTGCCCCCTCCACACCCCCAATGACCCCTGTTCCACACCCAGAAGAGGACAAAAGACCTCCAGGAACCCTGGCCAAACTGGCCTGGAGAAAAATGGCTTCCTGACCCCAACGTGCAATCGACATTTCCCTGGGTGTGTCAGAAAGGGCCACGAGAACTAACCCCTGAGGCAACCTGTCCTGCCCTCCCTTCTCATGATCTGCCTAAGTTCACACAAACAGCATTACTGTCAGATGGGGCCATCTAGCCTCTGCTGGAAAACCTCCCAAGAAGGAGAGCCCAACACCTCCCGAGGAAGCCTGTTCCACTGAGGAATCGCTCTAACTGTCAGGAGGTTCTTCCTAATGTTTAGCTAAAAACTCTTCTGATTTTATTCCAACCCATTGGTTCTGGTCCGATCTTCTGGGGCAACAGAAAACAACTCCACACCATCCCCTGCAGAAGTGTGTTTTGCACACGAAAGCTTAGACTTTGAATAACATTTCATTAGGATCTAGGGCAAGGGTGTCAAACATGCGGCCCGGGGGCTGCATCAGGCCCCCGGAGGGCTTCTATCAGGCCCGCAGTGGAACTGGCTGTCTTCTGCTGCTGCTTCTAGTTCTGCCGCTGCTGCGTCATCGTAGGTTTGCAGCTTACAGATACACACACCTGAACAGCATACTCAAGATTGCAACAGCACAGACATTCTGATGCAGTAATTCAGAGCAAGAGGTGTCAGTTATCAGACACTGTTAAATAAACAAAATATTGCAAGAGTGGTAATGTTTTAAGCATGTTTTTATTTTAAGTAAAAAAAAAAGTCTTTGTGTTTGTGTCCTTTATAAAGTTTATATCTCCGCTACCTGGCGTTGCATTTTATGACACACGTGGCTCGGCCCGACAAGGTCTCATTTATGTCAGATCCGGCCCTCGTAACAAATGAGTTCGACACCCCTGTTCTAGACAGCCCTTCAAGTCCTTGCAGATGGTGATCTTATCACCTCTCCGTTGTCTCCTCTCCAGGCTAAGCATGCCCAGTTCCTTCAACCTTTCCTCATAGGACTTGGTCTCTGGACTCCTCACCATCTTTGTTGCTCTCCTCTGGACACGTTCCAGCTTGTCTATACCCTTCTTACATTGTGGTACCCAAAACCGAACACAATACTCTAGGTGAGGTCTAACCAGGGCAGAGTAAAGCGATACCATCGCTTCGCGTGATCTGGACACTGTCAGGACCCACAGCGACAATGGAAGCACACGCTTTCAGGAAAGGTTTTACTTTATTGAAGCTGAAGATGCATGGACAGGAACACTGTTAGGAATGAGGGATTAACTATGCGCACAATGGTTATAGTACATTCATATGAGCGTTACCCAATTACTATGGTTCCCGCGCGCGCCATTAGGCCTGGGAACTAACTGCTACCCCAAAGCAAAACAGGTACAAGCTTCCCACGGCTCTGCCTGCCTAAAGCCAAAGCAATGATCTAAGCGACTCCTCCAGCGGCCTTGAGAGATACGCAGTGCAGTTTGCAAGTGAACTACAATTAGCTATGGGGAAAAGTATGCGCATCTGTGGAGATAGATCTTTGCGCATCTGAAAAGGAAAATAACACTTTGGCAGCTTGCTAAGAGACACTACACTTCTGTTGACTTGATGGCAACAAAACAAAAACACAGAGACCAACACGGCTAACATCTGAAGTGATCTTCTTGGAGAAAATGGCTACTCTGGAGGGTAGCCTTTATGGCCTCACACCCTCCCGAGGTTCCTCTCCTTCCCAAACCCCACCCTTCCCATGGCTCAAACCCCAAATCTCCAGAAACTTCCCAAGTGGGTTTGGCAACCCTACACACAGAGAATTATTTACTTATTTATTTACTTTTTTTTTAAGACATTTATTTTCAGATTTTAACAATACAAATTATATCATACACAGTACATATCAATTTTCGGAGTTTCTCTAAACATTTGATTCAAACCATTTATCTAATTTTTTCCATCATTTTTTCCGAGCAGAGATGAGTTAATTACTAGAATTATGGAAATAAGAGAGATGGACAAATTAAATATGATAATGTTGGCAAAAGATGAAGACTTGTTTACTTATTTATTTACTGTTTGTATTTATAGCCCGCCCACCCCGCAAGCGGGCTCAGGGCGAGTCACATCATAAAAACAGCACAATAAATACGGTCTTACAGGCCCTGCGGGATTGAAGAAGATCCCGCAGGACCCTGATCTCGACTGGGAGCATGTTCCACCAGGCAGGGGCCAGGGCGGAAAAGGCCCCGGCCCTGGTCGAGGCAAGACGGACGTCCTTTGGGCCAGGCACAACCAGGAGATGTTTATCCATGGAGCGTAACGCTCTTCGGGGCGCATATGGGAAGAGGCGGTCCCTCAGGTATGTGGGTCCCAGGCCGTGTAAGGCTTTGAAGGTAATTACCAGCACCTTGAAGCAAATCCGGAAGTCAACTGGCAACCAATGCAGTTGGCGGAGCACCTGCCGGATGTGAGCCCACAGAGGCGTCGATGTCAACAGATATCAGTCGAGGGGAGTTCTGGCCTCTCACGGCGCAGTTCACAAAGAAGGGAACGTGTCGTAGCACAAGAAGGGGCAAGGGGAAAAAAGAAGCCATTCTGATGCTTACCTCCAGGACGAGGGGATGAGCCACGGCGTCAGGCTTGACAATGGCCAGAGTGAGCTGCAGGACCCGCTGGGGGGCGCGCAAGACGGCCTTCATCCTGCTTGGGAGCGAGCTTCGCCCTGGGTGGCTGCAACGGGGGCCGCGTGTGCCAAGCTGGACCTTCCGGGGCTGCCTGTCCGAAAAGCATCGGCCTGCAAGAAACACCAGGTGGGTCAACGCGGGCTGGAGGGGAAATGCAGCGGAGGAACTGGGGGACACACAGGAGGGGGAGGGAAAACCTCACACCTGAGCCAGATTGAGGTGACGAGAGAGGAGGTCCTAAAACTGATAGACAACTTAAAAACTGAAAAATCACCAGGCCCAGATGGCATACATCCGAGAGTTCTGAAAGAACTCAAATGTGAACTTGTGGATCTCCTGACAAAGATATGTAATCTTTCCTTAAAATCAGCCTCCATTCCTGAGGACTGGAAGGTAGCTAATGTCACTCCCATCTTTAAAAAGGGTTCCAGAGGAGATCCGGGAAATTACAGGCCAGTCAGTCTGACGTCGATACCGGGTAAATTGGTGGAAACCATTATTAAGGAAAGAATTAGTAGGCACATAGATGAACAAAACCTATTGAGGCAGACTCAACATGGGTTCTGTAAGGGAAGATCTTGTCTCACTAACCTGTTAGTGTTCTTTGAGGGGGTGAACAAACATGTGGACAAGGGGGATCCAATAGATATTATTTACCTTGACTTCCAGAAAGCTTTTGATAAAGTTCCTCATCAAAGGCTCCTAAGTAAGCTCAAAAATCATGGGATAAAAGGACAAGTCCTTTTGTGGATCAAAAATGGCTAATTAATAGAAAACAGTGAGTATAAATGGGCAATTTTCTCAGTGGAGGGAGGTAAGCAGTGGGGTACCGCAGGGATCAGTACTTGGTCCACTGCTTTTTAACTTGTTCATTAATGATTTGGAGATGGGAGTAAGCAGTGAAGTGGCTAAATTTGCGGATGATACAAAGTTGTTCAGGGTGGTGAAAACCAGTGAGGATTGTGAGGCACTCCAAGGGGATCTGTCAAGGATGGGCGAGTGGGCGTCAACATGGCAAATGGGGTTCAATGTGGCCAAGTGCAAGGTGATGCACATTGGAGCCAAAAATCCTAAATATAAATACACATTGATGGGGTCTGAACTGGCAGAGACTGAGCAAGAGAGAGATCTTGGAGTTGTAGTGGATAACTCACTGAAAATGTCGAGACAGTGTGTGACTGCAATAAAGAAGGCCAATGCTATGCTGGGGATTATTAGGAAGGGTATTGAAAACAGATCAGCCAATATAATAATGCCCCTATATAAATCAATGGTGAGACCTCATCTGGAATACTGTGTGCAGTTCTGGGCACCACACCTTAAAAAGGATATTATAGCTTTGGGAAAAGTGCAGAAAAGGGCAACTCGAATGATAAAAGGGTTGGAACACTTTCCCTATGAGGAAAGGTTAAAGCGCTTGGGGTTCTTTAGCTTGGAGAAATGACGGCTGAGGGGTGACATGATTGAGGTTTATAAGATTATGCATGGGAAAGAGCAGATAGAGAAAGAGGTACTTTTTTCCCTTTCTCACAATACAAGAACTCGTGGGCACTCCATGAAACTGCTGAGCGGTCGGTTTAAAACGGATAAAAGGAAGTCCTCCTTCACCCAAAGAGTGATCAGCACATGGCATTCACTGCCGCAGGAGGTGGCGGCGGCTACAAGCATGGACGGCTTCAAAAGGGAATTAGATAAGTATATGGAGCAGAGGTCCATCAGTGGCTACTAGCCACAAGGTATAGATAGGGACTCTGGGGCAAGTGATGGTCTGTCATCTTGCTGCTTGGGGGGGGTCAACAGTGGGAGGGCTTCTAATGTCCTGGCCCCACTGCTGGACCTCCTGATGGCACCTGGTATTTCTGGCCACTGAGTGACACAGAGTGTTGGACTGGATGGGCCTTTGGCCTGATCCAACATTGGCATCTCTTATGTTCTCTTATGTTCTTATGTTCACTGCCTCAGCCTGGCGCTGATCCTCATTCCAACAACAGCAGCACCAACTCACAAAGGGCTTTCTCATGAGGTTTGCCTGATGAGCCAACCTCAGTACTGTCCTCTGCAGAGTTAAAGGTCAAGGTTTCCCTTGCTCGAAAGCCAGTTGAATCCGACTCTAGGGTTGCGGTGCTCATCTCCGTTTCCAAGCCGAAAAGCCAGCGCTGTCCGAAGACATCTCCGTGGTCATGTGGCCAGCATGACTAAACGCCAATGCTGGAATCTTAGTCCCGTTACATTGCTTATAAGACGCATTTGCCTTACACTGTGTCATCTGCCTTGATCATGCTGGGCTTTAAAGAATGTAGATAAATAAACAAATAGAGGGTTGCATTTTATCACTTTTGTTTCTTGGGGAAAGGGCTGAGGACAGCTGATACAAAAGATTATGTGATTATGGAGTTATACTCAGATCCAGGGGTAATTTCATTTCAGAAGGCAACGCCCACCGCTCAGGCTCCACTGGACTGTTTTGGATTGCTAGCTATTGGGGGGGGGAGGTGCAGATCTGTCCTTGCAGAGGAGGGAGAGCTTGTACCTGAATAAAACTTGGTCTTAAAGGTGCCACTGGACTGTTTTGGACGGGAGGGGGGGGCTCTGCAACTTACCTGGCTGCTTCTGGCTCTGACTGAGGGCTGCTGGGAGCAGGGGGTGGGGCTTGTTGCATGTGCCCACCCCCAGGGCTCTTTACTGCCGGAGCTCCGCTCCTGTGCGCTCCTCCAGGAAATGACCCCTGCTCAGATCCAGAATAAAGTTTGAGTCCCGCGGCACCTTTAAGACCAGCAAAGTTTAATTCTAGGTGTAAGCTTCTACCCTGAATTAAACTCTGTTGGTCTTTAAGGTGCCACTGGGCTCAAACTTTGTTCTGCTGCTTCCGACCAACAGGGCAACACACCTGCATCTAAATATGTTTTAAATATCCCTCCTATTTAAGCGGTGATCACAGCTATGAACGAGGACTATTCCTAGAAGATAGATCGAGGTGGGTAGCCGTGTTGGTATCTGAAGAAGTGTGCATGCAGTACACACGAAAGCTCGTACCCAGAATTAAACTTCGTTGGTCTTCAAACGGTGTTCTGCTGCTTCAGGCCTGAAATCTACACTAAGATCTGGAAGGCCTGGGTTCAGATCCCCATTTTGCCAGAAAGTTTGCTGGGTGAATCTATCCTAGTCACTCCTCCCACCCTAACCGACCTCACAGGGCTGTTGTGAGAATAACGAGGGGAAGAGGGAGGACCACGTGGACCTCACTCTGGGCTCATCGCTGAAGAGGGAGAAGAAGGGAAAAACTGAACAAGACAGGGGAAGTGGATGAGGCTTAGAGCTGCCAACCTCCAGGTGGCACCTGGAGAGCTCCAGCTATTACACTTGATCTCCGGATAACCAAGATCAGTTCCCCTGGAGAAAATGGCTCCTGGTGGGCTCTCTGGCATTATAGCTTGATGAAGACCCTCCCCTCCCCAAACCGTGCCTTCCCCAGCCTCCACCCCTAAAACCTCCAGGTATTTCCAAGGACCGGAAGCCCTACAAAGAACCCCTCTTGGGGGTCCCACTTGCAAAGAGATGCAATAGCCCCCCTCACCCACCTCCCGCACTGGGGCACCAGCAAACGCCTACTGGGGGCAAGGGGGAGAGTCAAAGAGTGCAGAATCCAGTCCGATCCCGATCGCCAAGGGTTGCCACCAGTGTTCCCTCTAAGCTGAGTGAGTGTGAGCTAGCTCACAGTTTTTTAGCCTCCAGCTCACACATTTCTGTCTTAGCTCAGGAAGGATGGCTCCAGAGCACACTAATTCATGCAGCAGCCCAAACTTTCGCTCACAACTTTTAATGCCAGTAGCTCACCAAAGTAGGATTTTTGCTCACAAGACACCGCAGCTTAGAGGGAGCATTGGTTGCCACCCCTCCAGGTGGCACCTGGAGATCCCCCGCTCTTACAACCGATCTCCATACGGCCAAGATCAGATCCCCTGGAGAAAATGTTTGCTTTCAGTGGTGGACTCTACGGTTTTACACCCTGTTAATATCTCTCCCCTCCGCAGAAGACCAGTGTTCCCTCTAAGCTGAGTCAGTGTGAACTAGCTCAGTTTTTCAGCCTCTGGTTCACACCTTTTTGCCTTCACTCAGGGAGGATGTAGCTCCAGAGCAAACTAATTCATGCAGCAGCCCAATCGCTCGCTCACAACTTGAATGCCAGTGGCTCAGAAAGTAGGATTTTTGCTCACAAGAATCCACAACTTAGAGGGAGCATTGCTCACGGGCAGTGTCCCCTCTAAGCTGAGTTAGTGCGAGCTAGCTCACAGTTTTTTAGCCTCCAGCTCACACATTTGTGTCCTAGCTCAGGAAGGAGGGCTCCGGAGCCAACTAATTTATGCAGCAGCCCAATCACTCACTCACCAACTTTAATGCCAGCAGCTCACAAAGTAGAATTTTTGCTCACAGGACCCCACAGCTTAGAGGGAGCCCGACTTCTTCAGGCTCCGCCGCCCCAAACCTCCAGGCATTTCCAAATCCAGAGCTGGCAACAGGGGCGGATGAAGGCTCGCTGGTGCCCTCAGCACTGACCCATCTTGGTGCCCCCCTCCTTTCCACACTGACCCCCAGTCCATTTCAGTGGTTGACCTGTCTGACCAGAGAGACAATGCAGGTCACAGCAATGCAACCATTTATTCCTGTGATAACACCATATCCTGTACAAACGAAGCCTTTTCACCCTTCCCCCAACTTTGTGGTGCCCTCTTTGGCCCTGGGGCCCTAAGCACGGGCTCAGTCTGCTTCGTGGCTCATCTGCCCCTGGATGGCAACCCTATGGGAGCCAGTGTGCCCTCTAAATTGAGCTAGTGTGAGCCAGCTCACCGTTTTTTAGCCTCCGGCTCACATGTTTTTGTCTCAGCTCAGGAAGGATGGGGCTCCAGAGCACACTAATTCATGCAGCGGCCAAATCGCTCACTCACAACTTTAATGCCGGTTGCTCACCAAAGCAGAATTTTTGCTCACAAGACTCCACAGTTTAGAGGGAACATATGTTCCCTCTAAACTGTGGAGTCTTGTGAGCAAAAATTCTGCTTTGGTGAGCAACCGGCATTAAAGTTGTGAGTGAGCGATTTGGCCGCTGCATGAATTAGTGTGCTCTGGAGCCCCATCCTTCCTGAGCTGAGACAAAAACATGTGAGCCGGAGGCTAAAAAACGGTGAG